ATGCATTCATAAAGATACTGTTCATTTGTTTCATCTTTCGCACTACGCTAAATTCCTTGTTAAAAGTTCTTGCTTTATCTTCTGGATTTCTGTTTCAAAAGTATATGAAGAAGGAATGAAGCTTTTCATCTCTACTAACATTGAGTAGGATTCATGACTAAGAGTTTGGTGCGTTGTTTGAAGTGTTGTTGTGCCGATGTTTGACATTTTTTTTATACAAAATAAAAAAAAATAAAAAAAAAATAAAACTAACTTTATTTTTTTATTTCGGGAAAATTCATGAAAATTCAAGAGGCTTAGAAAACGATGTAGAAAACATGTTAGATCTAACATTCTAACATAAACTTTATTTTTGGGTCCTTACACTCATTACGAAGAAGTCTTGACAAAACATGTACGAAGAAGTCTTGACAAAAACATTTACGAAGAAGTCTTGACAAACATGTACGATGAAGTCTTGACAAAGCATGTACATGAAAGTCATGACAAAACATTTACGATGAAATCATGACACTTTTTCAATAGATAACTGTTATTTTTTGACGAAGTGAAGGTTGACACTTCGTCAAAAAAAAATCCCCTGAAATCATGTCTTTACATACAAAAAAATGAAAAAAATGACACTTTTTCATTAGATAACTGTTATTTTTTGACGAAGTGAAGGTTGACACTTCGTCAAAAAAATCCCTGAAATCATATCTTTTATACAAAAAATAAAAAAAATAAAACTAACTTTATTTTTTATTTCGGGAAAATTCATGAAAATTCAAGAGGTTAGAAAACATGTTAGAAAACATGTTAGATCTAACATTCTAACATAAACTTTATTTTTGGGTCCTTTACACTCATTACGAAGAACTCTTGGTCTCTCTTCGATTTGGATTGAGATTGGAATTGTTGGGGTGGAGCTTGCTGGAACATCCAAGGGTTGGGGAAGTAAGGCATAGGCAGAGGAGGGTAGTTCGGGAAGCCTTGTAGTGGAAATTGGTAGTAACCTTGAGGTGGAAATTGGTAGTAATTTGGTGCAGGGGCTGGTGCTTTAGGTTCTTCTGGCTTTGGAAGGCATTCAGGAAGAGGAACGTCAGTCATTCGTTTGTGTCCTGTTGGAAGGAAAAACCTTTCCTGTCGGAAGGAAAAACTTTTCCTGTTGGAAGGAAAAAATTTTTCTGTCGGAAGGAAAAACTTTTTCTGTTGGAAGGAAAAACTTTTTCTGAAGTTCGACAAAAAGTTCTCAATTTTCGAAAATTTGAATGGTTTACGGACGGACAACTGGAAAATTTTTTCCTGTCGGAAGGAAAAATTTTTTCTTTTGTCCGGAAAATTTTTTCCAGTTGTCGGGAAAAACTTTTCCTGTCGGAAGGAAGGACTCGGAATGCCAGAAGGATTTGACGAAGCAATTTACCTAATTTAAATTAACAACTGCGTAAAAGACTACTTGCGCAAGGTCATGAAGCCCAAGGTCAAGTTCACCACTATTTCTGGAAGGGCTGCCTTGAATCTCGAGATTTCGACTGGAATTCCAATTCAAATACCAGAAAACACTCCTGTAGACGACATAAAGGAGATGAAGAAGGAAGCCATTATAAAGTTCTTTGCCAAGCGTCCTTGGATACTACTTCCAAACAGAGAGAGTCCATTCCACGAATTATACAAATTCTCAGAGCACTGTTCCACTTCTCAGGACAACCATTCTACATAACCTGTGAAGGCGACATCCAACCAGTTCAGTAAACCTTAACGTTTAACTTCACTTTTTTATGTTTTTTGTGAAAGTTTTAAAATAAATTGTTTCATGAGTTTTCTACGATGTTAGAAAAAATGTTAGAAAACGTGTTAGATCTAACATGCTAACATAAACATTATTTTTCAATACTTTTTCAGCACTTTTCCGTAGTTATATATGAAAGACAATTCGAGATAAAAGTCATAGTACAATGGAATAATATGTTGCACACCATTTGTTGTGAACCAAACTTGAAAGTCAGAGAAACTGTTACTAGGTGGTTCGTAGAATTTAGAAGCAAAGTCATAAAAGTCCTTACAATACATAGAAAACTATTGTTGCTTGAACTGAAACTTGCATGACACATAACATTTTGAGGGTCAAACACGTTTCTATAAACTGTCAAATCTGCTGGTGGAAGTATAATTTAAATGGACCATCTGGTGGTAATGGTTCGTTCTGGTTAGTAACCGAAGAAATTGTGCCCAAGAACGTTTGTCTACTTTCCAAAATAAAACTCTGTATCTCTTGGAGGGTTAATTTCAATCTTTTGAAATGAAACGGTGGAGTTCATCTTGTCATATTCTAGTTTCAGATAGTAGTTTCCATTTAGTAAAGAGTCGTATTTTTCTTGAAATTCCAATAATATTTGTTCATTTGAGTTTGAAAGTCATTTAGAGTTTTCTCAAGACTTTCGTCTGAACGAACTGTAAAGATTCTCATTTCGTCAAATTTGTCTATTAGACCATCAGAACCTTTATACTGCCCATGAAAATATACTGCGAACATAAATGCGTTAGTTCTATTTGAAAACAAAACTCTTCTAAATCCTATTGCCTTTGCATCTGAAGGACTTTGAAGCCAACGAATTGGATAGTCAAACCTGTATGCTCGGGATGAAATTTCTTCATCTGAAATAGTCCTCCAGCATTTGTAAAGATATAGTCTAACGGTTTTGTATCTACTACTTTTGTTCTTTGTTTTTCAACCTGAAGCATTTAATATATGTAAAAATATATTGTTTTAAAATGGTATGCCATTTCATATTTCTCATCTAACAAACAAGTTTCCCAACGGTCTTCTCCAACAAACTCAGCGTACATTTCAATAAAATTAAAAATGTCACTTTTTTAAAAATAAATTTTTATTTCATGCAATGTTTAACTATTTCACCATCTTCTTTAACACCCCAGTACTTACGCTTGGAGAGGACATGAACTTCGGAAAATACCTTATCTAGCTTAAAACAGCCATCTTTTCACCGACCATTCCCATTTCAATGAGTTTGTTGTACCCTTCTTCGTTCGTCATGAGTGCGTCAATGTTCTCATAGTAAACCTTCACTTTGGATTTGACTTCGGAGAAGAATTTGTTGTAGTTGTCAAGGACTGCCTTTGCGAACTGAGGGTAAGACCAATGTTCGACAATAGGTTTTAATGTGGTTACTAAGCCACTTTGACCTTGAGTGAATTCGTACTTCAAAACAAAAGGAGAAAAACCTTTCAACAAAGTTGTCGACCTTCTCATAATGTTTACTCTTCATCTCTTGAGGTTTCTTAATGGAATATCCCCATGTCGAATTCATAAGCAATTTGAGTGTCATTGCAAGTTTGGGGTTTGAAGCTTTCCTAATATCATACAGTTGTTGTATGACTTTTCCAACTGTATATAGTTCCTTCCGGGAACTCACCATCTTCGTTTGGAATTCCAGTCGGAATATATTGGACAAACCTCATGTACGCAGCGTTAAGGTCGACATAGTATATCTTTTCGTTTGAGTCGAACTTGTCGCAACCAATTGGTCCAGTTTGTGGAAATTCAAGTGAGTCTCTTATCTTCTGAGAAACTTCTCCTGTTATCTCATAAACATCGTCGAAGCAACCTGTTTCATATAAAACCTTCTGACCTAACTCAGATGCTCTCCAATACAATTTGACGTCAATTGGATGTCTCAATGGAAGTTTGTTTATAGCATCTTGAAGTTCTTGCAACCTCATTGGAAGTTCTTCTGGTTCAGGTTGGTATCCGAACATACCAACCCTTGTGGAACTGTGTACTTCTTTTGTACTAGAACTTTGTCTGGAAACAACTTTTGGTCTTGCTACAATGAAAAGTTTGTTTGTTTCGTCTTTTGGTACAAAAGTTTCTGTCAGCTTGTCATCTGGAATTGGTTCCAACAAACCTTTCTCGAAAAGAATGTTTACAGCTCTGACAATGTTGCACTTGCCTTTTCCGAACAATGGGTTTGTAAGACTTTCGTTCAACATGAAGTGGTTGTGGACAATTACAATCTTCAACCATGGTAAATTGAACTCAACAACATAGTCGTCATGTGAAGAACCTTTAGCTGTAGGTATGTTGACTCGGATATTGACATTTGCCAACGGTGCAATTTTTGCCAATTGACCTCTGAGAATGTACCTTGTCTTCACACATGACTCAAGATACTTCATCTTCTCATCTGTAACAAGACCAGAGTTCCTGAGACATGTAAGAATGCAAGGTTCATTGACAATTGTTTCAATTGAATTGTAAATTCCATACCTTGTCAAGTCAATGTCAGACTTATTTATGAACGGGAAGTATCCAGCATGTTGTCTGACTGCTTGAGGGTTAGGTTGGTACCATTCGAACTTGACACTTGCAATTCCTTCAATTGCATTCAAAATGTCTGAGTCGGAGTCAACCATTTGTTCTCTCTTTGTAGTCTTGAAAGCGTCAAGAAGCATTGCAGCTGTTGTGACATTGCCATGTGCATAGTAAATGTGACCATCCAAATCTGTTATGGTCAATCTGAGATTGTATCCTTTCTTATTTCCGTCTTGTATGGCAGCAAGTACACCCATGAAGCCTTCTTTGTTCTTTCCTTCGTCAAAGTTTACTGTAAAGGTTCGACCAGATGTAATTTGACTTCTAACTTCACGGTACTTCTCATATGCATATCTTGTTCTTTCCATGGGAGCATGTGTGTCTTCACCTTTTCCTTTTTTCCTTCTCAAAGGATGCAATTGTTCGTCATGTTTCCAGTAGAATCTGGCAAAGCCGTCGTGTCCTTCAACTTGAGGTTCACTAACATCGAAAGGCATGTCCATAAGACGTTCTTCTTCTAACCTCTCTAGTCTGTTTGGATAATTTGCACGTGCTGTTTCCAAATCCATTTCGTAGCGAAGACCAGACAATTTGTCATAGACTTTTATGGGTCTTCCCTTCCTATATTTAAACTTCTTCGAAACTCTCCAACCATATCTTTGCAACTCTGCTTTTATTCTAGCAGACTTTCTATCCATTCTATATGGGGGCATTTTTATAAAAATAAAAAAATATTTTTTTCTTTACTTTACATAACCGCCTGCTGCCATAAGTCTTTGACGCCAACCCATACCAGCTAATGAAGGTTGACTTGGTTTAGTTTGGAAACTAAACTTTGGTTTTGGTTTATCTTCAGTTTTTGGTTTTTCTTCTTCTATCGGTTTTTCGTCACTTTTCGGTTTCTCTGACTTTACCTCACCTGCAGGAACAGTTGTGTCGTCAACATCTTCATAAATATCATATGCCATTTGTTTTTGTTTTCCTTTCAACTTTTTGTGTTTGTTGTAAAGTTTAGAATATTTCGACTCTAAGTCAATGAGATGTTCTATAATGAACTGTTGGTCAGTGAAGTAAACTTTTCCATCTGTTGTCTCGAAAGCTCCTTCAGACTTCAATATTTTATTTGTGAGAGTCTGTTTCTTTTTTGAGATACTAGCCGTTCCATTTTTATGAAAAGTGACTTTGTAGTTAGGGTTTGTATTTCCAGACCTGGCACTTTCTATTATTGAATTTTTCTCTTCATCTGTAAGTTCTTTGACAGGTTTTGACAATGGTTCTGAACTTTTTGTTTGTGGTGTCAAATCTACCGTTTCAACTTCTTCGGTCATTTCATCTCAGTAAAAAATTTTAGTTTGGTTTGTTTTCAACTGGTTGTTGTTGTTTTTTAAGTCGGTCTAAAACTTCCTGAGGTATAGGAAGAACTTGACAAACACGTTGTGTAACTGCTGGAAGCCGACAAATCCATCTTGAACCCATTTGTCTCAATGCTGTATTGTTCATTTCATCTCAGTAAAAAACTTTACATTCCCACGTTTGAGGCGGTTGAGGTTGGTTATTTTTACCCATTGTTGTGCATGGTTATATCCTCTGTTAAAGAATCTTTCACCTTGTCCAATATAGTGTCCTGCTTGGTTATAGTAGTCATTTGCTTTGTTATAATAGTTTCCTGCTTGTCTTCCTACATTGTCCATCCATCCTTGAACTTTTCCTCTTGTTTCAGGATTTGGAATAAGATTTGTTGCATCTCGTGCTACATCCCAACCTTTCTGTACAGTTT